CCCTAAACCCGAAGCCCCTAAAGCCAGGACCTTCAGCGCCCAGAAAAGCTTCCAGGCTGCCTGAAGCAAGGAAACAGCCCGCAGCCAGCCACCGTCCCCGGTGCACGCAGCCAGAGCGGCATTGCAGCTGATGACATCCTGAAGCATTCATGTAGGGTTTAGGGTTTAGNNGGGCTTAGGGCTTAGGGTGTAGGGGTGCCGTGAATGGCTCCTTTCAGTGATTTCTTTTAAAAGTTTCGGCAAGACTGTTCGGAAGGTGTGCAATGTGGCCAGAATATTTGGAAATGGCGTAGCTTGATCATCCCTCAAACCCTAAATACAAGCCCCAAAGCCTGACACCCTAAACCCTAAGCCCAAACCTCAACCCCACACACCGGTTCTTCCATGGAAATCCCGAGTTCATTCTGGCAGAGCATATGGTGGGGTTTCCTAAAACATGGGCTTCTTCTAGATCCTCTATGGTACGTGCTCTTGCGACCCAAACAAAAGGGGGCTCTAGTCAGACCTACATGGGGAGCTCTCTAAGTTATGGTCCCTTTTTCGGTCCCCAAACTACTACGGCAATCTTATCGAAAGGACCTTAACAGGGACCCTCATTCAGAGATCTACCTGCCTCACGATGTGCAGAATCACCCCTGGGCTTCGGGGCGCTGGCAGGGGGTGGCTCTGCACTTACAAGGGCTCTGTAAGGCCAGGCTGGACGGGTTTTGGGCTTACTGGTTAAAGGGTTTTAGTTAGGTTACCATAATAAAGAAGCCGAATACGACTATAGATCTCTAGTATGGCAACTGTTTCCTTAACAGAACCCAGTTTACGGTTTAGGGTTGAGGCTTTAAGGTTTAGCGTTTAGGCACGGGATCGGGCTGTGGGATTTGGCACGTCCTTCTGGACCTTGGCGGCTGCCATGTCGCACAGCAGCTTGGATACCGTGGCCCAATCGGACGCCTGACAGGAGACACCAGAGCTAACAAGGAGGCACCCCTATTGGCCCCAAACCCTAAACCCGCAAACCCCCAGGCCCTAAACCCCAAAACACTAAACCCGAAGCCCCAAACCCTAAATGACATCATTGAGATTCATCCGAGATTCTTTGATGTTCCAGTATAGTGTCCGAAGTTCATGTCTCTTGCTCCCATAGATAGTCCCCTCCGGCGTCCGAGTCACAGTATCATGTACCTTTGCGGTTTCACACTGAAGCCGGCAGTGATTGCTGCAAAGATGGTGATCCACATGTTGCATGTTGTGCCATGAAGAAGAGTTGCGGATTGGAAGATGATGCCAAGTCGAACTCAGGGTTGTTCCGTACTTACAAGGGCTTTATGCAGAATCCTCGTTATCACTTTACACTAACATGAAATTCAAATCATTACGACATCCCGGCAACCCTAGTATGGAGCACTCCCTGCACTTTCCTTCGCCCGCCTTGGAGTAGGCGTCAAGGACAGTGTTGTAGTGGATGACATTTGCCTTCTAGGATTCTACGTGGGCTCTTGGGGTTTTGAGCTTAGACACCTGCTCAACCCCCACCTAATGCTCCCTAAACCCTAAACCCTAAACCCTAAACCCCCTCCACTTTTCATCCGAGACGAGACGAAAGGAACCTGGAACACACAAGAGGGGCGACTGGCACCCCAACCTTGCAGCCCCAATCAATAACTCTTCTGAGGGTCTGAGGTTTCGGGTTTAGGGCTTTAGGGTGTTGGGCTTAGACTTAGTGTCAATGTTCTGGAGATATGGATATTAACACTAAACCCTAAACCCTAAACTGGATCTTAGGTCTCAGAGTTTTCGGGCGGAGGAACATTTCCCGAAAGGCTGAGACTGAATTACTGAATCGCACACCTCCGGTCAGCATGGCTTTCAGTCCCAACCATTGTTATTAAAGACGACAGCTCCTCCGCAGCAAATGCTGTACGTAAACCCTTAAAACCTCTCAGCTGCACAGGCTTATCTTTAAGCCCCAAACCTCACAAAGTTCTTAGGCCCTACACCCCAATCCCCTATGTGCACACTCAGGGCTCTCTGCGAACCTCCACGGCATTGGCCTGCGCAGATCGCAGCAGGCGTTGAGCTGCGTCGGGTCGGCGTTCATCTCGCCCCAGACGCCTGAAGCTCGCAGGGACCGTGCATGAAGAACACACACAGGACACACAGGACAGGATGAGACAATACAGACAGTAAAAATAATGGTCCATGGGAGTCCATGGCGTGTGTGTGTGTGTGTGTGATACGTGCAAGCTTGGACAGAAGTATGTATGGCGGTTTATATGTAGATACACGAACCTATGGCACAGATGCCCACATACATGGAGGCATAGGCACATGCATAGATGCATGCACCCGCTTACACACATACATATACAACTACATATATACGCGCATTCCACGTATGTATACATGAGTATATATGCCAATGTATGTATGTATGTATGTATGTATGTATGTATGTATGTACGTATGTATGTATGTATATATGCATGCATGCATGTATGTATGTATACGTGTATGTGTATGTGTATGTCTATTTGTATGTGTATGTGTATGTGTATATGTATGTGTATATGCATATGTATATGTATATATGTATAAATGTATATATGTATATATGTAT